AATGAAGAGCATAACAACCAATATATATATATATGAAGAGAACTTGGAAAAGCCCCCAAAAAAACCATTAAACCCCTTTATTCATAATCAAGAATCCAACATGGACAAAAGAACAAACGACAAAATTAAATCACAAAACAACGAACCATGAACTATATATACCCCCAAAGAAACCACCCATTATACATAGTTACATACTATCTGATCAAGTTTACACTAGCTTTGTCTTTTCTTTTGTCTTCCTCATCAATCCCTTTTCGTTCCAATTTATTCTTCTTTGTTGATCGTTTTTTTGCAGTCTGTCAAGTTTAACGCGAGCCCTCGAGCCCGAGCCAAGTTGTGAGCCAGTGAACGACCTCATCCATTTCTTTTGGAACGGTATAGTGACCAAGTCTACACATTTAGCACAAACCAAAAAAAAACTCTTAAGAAAACTTTTTTAAGAAAATGGTAGAAACAAATCAAATTTGCCTGTTTAGGTTAATCAGTGAGGTGTAATTACCCTTCATATGGTTTAAACATGACTTGTCGAAATCCAGCATTGTGAAGAGACTGTGCAGATTTCTCTCCAAACCTATAAGGAACCACATCATCGGCTGTGACACAAGGCAAACGGTAAGATCAGCTTTTCGCAGTCATTTGTTAAAGCGAAAAATGAATGTACATAGATTACAAAAGGTATTGTTTACACATACAATTTCCATGTGTAAGTATGATGGGTAACGATGCAGCACGCCTTGCAGCCTCATATGAACATTCTATTTTGCTCCTTATGCTCCTACAAAGTTAAGTTAAGCTTCTATCAATAAAAAGATAAAACATAAGATTGTAGCACTAATATTAAACAAAGTGGTAACATGAGGGTTTAAAGAGTAATTACTTCCAACCGGGAAGCCAACCACTGAGCCCTACAACAGCTCGTAGGTTTATAGGGTAAGTATGGCCAGTTCCATAACGTCCAAGCGCGTAACATGTCGCGGAGTAGAGCGATATTGCTGCTCCCATGCTAAAACCTCCTATGCCCACTTGGACTATCAAAATCACAAGAGCATTTCAAGATTAGCAAGAGATCAATGTGATGCATACTATAATATAAAAATTAGCCTCTTAGTGCTTACCATCTGCTGGTTCAGCGGACAAAAGGTTAGCAATATGTGAAGCTGAGGCATCTAAACCTTCCAAATCATCATGACTGTCTTCAGAAATTTCCCCAACATCAAACCCTGGTTTATATTAAACAAATTATTCAATTTTCTGTTCTATAACTACTTTAGAGAAAGCAAAGAATGTGTTTTTTAAGTTTCAAATGAGAGATGTCTAGAAGAAAACCAACTGATCTTACTTACATGCAGTGCAAGTAAATCCACCAAGACTTGAAACAGGACGTGTAGGAGCAGTCGGACAAATCCATTTTATCTGTGCATAACATATATATCTCTAGCTATTTAGTACAAAAATAATACTTCGATGTGGTTTTAGTGGATTTATAACGAAATATGTTACTCGGATTGTTACATTTGGAAGATGCAAGCTTTCCATGAGCTGAGATGAACTGTATAAAAAAACAGAGACAAGGTTAGATGAGATGTTTCAATGGAGTTTATTTGGATTAATACACAAAAGATCGAATATTCTTTTTCATATGAGACTAGAAAATTGTCTTGTTAGTGAGCCAGTGGTCCCCTAAGCAAGGTATATACAATTTGTTTTTATTACAAACTAAACTTAATATTCCGCATAAGAGAAGACATTTGAAAGGAAAGGTACAATAGAATTGTATAAATATAAATATAAACATTAAAGCTTAATTTTGTAGTTGAAAATGGTATTAGAACATGCCAAAACTCTACTTTCGAAAATTACTTTTTTCTTTCATTTAAATACACCAA